AGTACCTCCCAAAATTTTAAAGAAAGAAAAACTTATATATGTACAAAAATAAGGGTTGATATGATGAAGGGATGGAATATGACTGTAAAAATGGAAATTATAAAAAATGTTATAAAAGGAATTAATAAGAAGTTTTTTGAAAAAAGAAAGAAGAGGATTTAAAAAAAGAAAAAAGAAAAAGAAAAAAAAAGGGAGAGGATGTGATCAGGCAGGGGAATAGAAAACACCATATACTAGAGATTTAGGGTATATTTTAATCTGTTAGAAGAAACTATCTCAAAATTTTAAAGAGAGAACAACTTATATATATAAGCCAAAAATATGGGTAACTACTATGAAGGGATAGACTATGACTCTAAAAATGAAAAATAAAATTTTTTTTTTTTTAAAAAGGGATTGATAAGATGTTGGTTGAAAAAGGGAAAAAGAAAAATTCAAAAAGAAATAAAAAGACAAAAAGACAGTTAAAAAAAAATTAACTTTAAAAGACTAAAGAATCATGGTAAAAAAGCCGTGAATTCTATGTGCAGTAGTCCCCTAGCGCTGGAGTTCTGCCGTTCTCATTGATCGGTGAACTTGGTCTTGGCTGGCTGTTCTCGCTGGTCTTCTGGGGAGGGGCCTGTTGCCGTGGTTTCCAAATGTCTCTGCCGGAGGCGGAATTGCCCCACCCTCGCCCCCTCCCGGCTAAGTAATCTGCTCGGGTTTGCTCTCCGGGGCTTTTGTTCCCTGCGAGCTTTCCGTACAGCTTTGGAGGCGGAGAGTGAAAATGGCGGCCTCCCAATCTCCGTCCCGGAGGAGCCGAGAACTCGGGGCCCCGCTCCTCAGTGAGCCCCCAGAGAAAAGCCGTCAGTCACTCCCGTCTCCCCGGTCTCTGGCCGCACTCCGTGCTCACCCGGCCTGTGACGGAGCATTTCTCTCTCTGGCACCCGACCCCGGGTGGAGTCTCCAAACCCAGCAGATCCCTGCGGTGCACTCCCGCGCAGCTCCTCCCGTGGGAGGAAGGTGAGTCTCCCCGGATCTGCCGCTTGTTGGGTCCCTGCTGGAGGAGCAGGGGCCTGACTGGGCCGCGGATCACGGTTTATGACAACTCAGCTGAGAGCCCGCGCCTGGGCTCCGCCTCTGCAGCCGGCTTCCCCGCTCCGTTACCTGGGAGCTCTGCCGCCCTCAGGCACCCCCGGTCTTTCTGTGACCCCGAGGGTCCTGAGACCACACTGTCCCGGAGGGTTCCACTCCCCGCTTAGCCACCAGAGTGACGTCCCTCAGCGGAGCAGACTTTTAAAAGTTCCGATTTTGTGCTCCGTGGCTCTATCACTTGCCAGAAGCGGCCAACGGAGGCCCCTCCCCCGCCATCTATCCTCCCGAATATCGCCTCGGATTCACTTCTCCGCACGTCCTACCTTCCAGAAAGTAGTCGCTTTTCTGATGAGAGAGTTGTTGCTCTTCTTTTCTTCGATCTCCTGTTGAGTTTGTAGGTGTTCAGAATGGTTTGATCCCTATCCAGCTGAATTCCTGAGAGGAGATGAAATCCAGGTCTCCTACTCCTCCGCCATCTTGCTCCGCCCCCCAAGGTAGTTTTATTTTTAACTGAAAAAGATACTTCAAAATAACCTGGAAGCCCATTCAAAGTAAAAGTCTCTCACTCCTTAGAATCTATATCAAACATGGAGGCATGAAGACCTGGAAGCCCATTCAAAGTAAAAGTCTCTCACTCCTTAGAATCTATATCAAACATGGAGGCATGAAGACAGTCTCAGATCTAACCTCACTCTTTCCAGCTCTTCTCTGTTGTAACATCCAGGGACCACTCCCTCATGCCTGTAGACACCCCAGCCTCCTGCCTGAGCTCCATCCACATACCTGTAAAGAGTCCTAACTTTCCTGTGAGGTACATGATTACCAATGGCACAGTCAGGAGCAAACACAGAAGACAAGACTGTGCAGGTTCCAGAAGCATTCTTGAGGCCATTTGTGCAAGGTATTCTGGAGCTCTAGGTCTCCAGAGCATGATCTGGAAAATGGTAGTAATTGAGGTGGTGTGAGCTCTTAGAGGGCAGGTCTGGTGACCAAACTGGTTACCTGAATCTGACTTGCTTTTAGCAGTGGAAATCTCATGTCCTGTGAACCCCTTCATTGGGATGTTAAAAGCCCCACTTTTCAATATTGTGTCAGATTAAAAAAGAAGAGTGAAAAATCCATATGACAGCAACCATATGACAGCAACAGTTTTAGTGTCAAATGGATTTGGTGCAGATTATCCATCTTCCATAGTCGTTCGTTGTTAGTGGGTTGTCCCCTGATCTTTTCTGTTGGCAAATGTAGTTCATGCTCCACAATGACGGATGGTCCATTGCTGCTCCGTCTGAATGACGTGACCAAAGCCAGCATCTGAAGTGGGTCCTCATTCTGAGTCTGAACAGTAGGCAGCAGCTCTGCCTGTGAATTAACTGTTGTGTTTTGTATTGAGATAGTTGAGTATGATTTTTCACATTGTGAGTATTGTCATCACGTTTCCAGAACTCTTTTGAAAAGTTTAGATAATTAAAATGAAAGTAATTACATAGTATTTGTTTAGTCTTATTAATTACTATTTACTGCCACTGTTAATTAGCCAATTATTTTGTTTAAATAATAACATTTATGTGAGAGAGAAATAAATAATGCCAAATATGGTAATATAATTTCAAATGGATACTTATTTCTCATATTTTAGTGACAAATTATTAACACTTATGTACATAATTACTTTTTATTACTATTAATTATTATCATTATTATTTTGTCTACTATGGCTGTGCCCCTGACTGGTTCTTTAAAAAGCTGATCATCCTAAAAGCGAGTTGTACTGGCCCCAGGACCCCTTGCCTTTTGAAGAAGGATGTGACCTGTGAGGGGTCAGAGGGGGGTCTAAGACGTCACTGCAAATGGCTCCCAATGTACCATGAGGCCAAATTCTGATTGATACCTTAAAAAAAAAAAACTATTTGTGGATAATTAAAAACAAATACCATAATCGAGTTTGGTTTGAAATCTACAGCTGCCAAAAACCATGTGGGCCAATAGATTTGTGAGTTTACAAAGGACATTACTTTGCAAAAAAAAAAAATCATTTATTTTTGATGATGCTTAACATTCAAGAACTCAGTTTTTTAATGTTACTGGGAAGCAGATGCTAAACTGCAAAAATTAACTAGCGATTGCATTCCAGAAAGCAATAATATCCGACTTCTTTATTAAGTTTACTGTTATGTGAACAAAGAAAGAGGAGAACATTTCTTCCATTAGCAAAGCAAATAGGACATCTGTGCGTAAGAAAATGCAAGTCAGAATTTGGTGGGTGAAATTCATTGTTGTGAAAGGAATAATTGGCTTGTAGGTCCCGCAAGTTTTATATCCCAGATCTTAAATCGGATAGGATCTCACAGGTTTCAAGCATTTCTTATCGTTGGTGTTTAGTTTTATTTGATTTTAACCCTATATAGATTGTATTGAGACAACAAAAAACAAATTTCAGACTAACAACGGGGGAGGAGAAACTCAGCCTCTGAGCCTCACTGTCTTGGCTTGACGCTCTGTAAGCTGAGAATTCGGGGGATCCTGCTCACCTGCATGCAGCCTAGGAATGAGGAAAGTGTAGGGCCTGTGTGCCCCACAGAACAAACACTGAATATTACCCACACCATCTAACTGGTATTCCTTTATGATTTTTGTTTGCTTTCTTTTGAAATTGTCCCTGAGTCTTTACTAAAGTCTTCTAAAAATTACTAATCAAATCCTAGCTGTACATGGGCACAGGATGAAAAGGATTCAGTGTCCCCTTGTCCCCAGCAGGATTAGATGGGGGCAACATAGGTGAAGGTGACCCTCATGTAGAAGGTTTAGGACTTTAAGGCCTTGTCCCCTTTCCCAGGTGAAGATTAGCCCTATAATATCAACCTCAAAACAGTGTTGATATTTTTATTAACAGAAACAGTGGTTTCATTCTACATGGATCACCCAGCATGGAGAGCTGTCATCAACATAGTCAGATTTTTCTGGGCAGTATTCCGGGCTTTCCCTCCAATGCACTGCTGCATCCCTTCGTAGCATCTCTTAGGGAGTAGCTATACTCTACACCATTTTTGTTCCTCCTCTCCATCATTACAAAGGATGATTCTTCTTTTCTAATAGAGATGTGGGGAGAGTGTGTGTCAGATACCATAACTGTATCCTAATTCAGGTTCTTCTCAAGGATGCTTGTGATGGCTAATTTTTTGTCACCTTGGGCCATGATGCCCAGATATTTGGTCAAACATGATTCTGGATGTTTTTGTGAGGGTGTTTTGCTTGGATGAGATGAACATGTAAATCAAAAGGCAGTCAGCCTTTCAACTTGGCGCTTCCCGGGTCTCCAGCCTGCTGGTCTACCTTGCAGATTTTGGAATTTCCAGCCTCCATAATGATATAAGCCAATTTCTTAAAATCTTTCTCTATCTCTCTATCTATCTATCATCTATCTATCTATCTATCTATCATCTATCTATCTATCTATCTATCTATCTATCTATCTATCTATCATCTATCTACATAGTCAGAGTGGGGTTTAAGGATCGGAGGGACCTGGAAAATAGTCAAATGTTTTCCAAGTGGCATAATAGGACATTGAGGGCTGAGGAATCTGAAAGGCCTCTTGGACAGGATGAGACAAGCTGCCAAGCTCCATTTGACCAGTACACATATGGGGAGGGGGATTGCTCAGCAGATGCTAACTTGGGCAGAGGCTGCCTCCAATGACCAGGTACCTCCTCTTGAGGCCATGATACTAGATTGGGCCTCAGGAATGTAGATACTGTCCCAGATATACGTGTGTGTGCATAGTGGGAGGCAAGCCTAAATTAATGGAGTTTACTCTAAATTGGCAAGATTAAAGTTTTCTAGCTTTCTACCGTCAGATGAAATGAGATCTTAAGATAGAAAATAAATCAATAAAAAGTTACATATATTTGTGAACGAACCACGTGGATTTACTATTTATTCCCATTTTGATCATTTACTTCTAATGGGTCAATTAATTCATTTTACAAATACAAACTTTCAGTGTAAGGAGAAAGAATCATTCTTCTAAAAATAAAGAAGGAAACTAAAATAGAATTTGCAAATTGATGAACCATGTGGAAGAGCCTCCTCCGTTCCCACATCATTGACTATTCATTGCTATACTGGTGACTTCTAAGACTTACGCGAGCCTCCTCTTTCCTCCGCTTCACCACTGGAGCATTTCCAACCTCCTGTCACAAACTCAGCACACTCAGGGAGAAGAAGAAGGCTGGACTGGGGCCACAAAAAATCTCTGCTCTAATCCCTAAACCAGTGTTCAGTAGGAACATAGTAAGTTTTTAACTGAATGAACGGATGCATGAATATTTAACTTGCTTTTTAAAGAAATCAACAAAGGGATCTGTCTACAGGCAATTTTATTTGGTTTTGGAAATTTAGATTGATTTTTCTATCACTTTGCAAATAGAATAGGAGTAACTCACTCCTCTGTGGGGTTCTGAATGAGGAAGTGTCCATACCTGTTCGCTATTAACCAGTAATCAGGAAAGTCTCTGGCCATGAAAATTCCTCTCTGTGAAGACTAACAGCTCTCAACAAAGGAGGAGCAGGAACATAACTAAGGCTGAGGTCCCCTTCAGATTATTCCAGACATTCTTATTCGCTGGGTCCACAGGCCCTCCAATGGGGGAGAGGGTAAGGGAAAACCTGTGTTTGCTGGTTTTGCATTGTTGGGCAGAAGGCAGTCTCTTAATCACGTTGGTAGAGAATTGCCTCTAAGGTCTTATCCCTGACGGTCTTCAGGAACCTCAGAACTACAGTCCCGCCTGTGCCCCTCTCTTCTAAGGCTTGAGATGGCCCAGGGAGAGGGTTTGGCCTCCTGCCCTTTGCTTTGGTAGCCGCTGTGATGAGGTATTTGGTCACCACACCGATGTGATAGCTGCGCAGGTCCACCAGGGCCTCCACACACTGATTATAGGCTGTCAGAAGTTGGCTATTTCCAGAGGACAAGATGTGGTCTCTCAGTGAGGGACTTGACTGGATTTCTTCTATAAAGTCCTTATGGGAAGGAGGCATGTACTCCCTCATCCTATGCAGAAAGTCAGCTGAAAGAAACAAACCAGAACAGTGTCATAGCTCCACATGGAAAGATAAGACAGCCTATCTGCTTTTCTGGACATCAGTGCAGCAAAAACTTGCTTTCATCCTAACTGTCCATTTTCTACATTGCTTGCTCTTTTACTCACAGATATCAAGTACTATTTTCTTGACTACCAACAGGAGCTGGGGAAGGAAAAATGAAGCAAATACATCTCGGATAATTGAGTTGGAACTAGATCTATCAGTCCATGTATAAATATTTGTCGCATACCCAAGGGGGGGCAAAGTATATTGCTAATCATCATGAGAGATATCTACAAACGTAAGGCATAAACCCTTAAACTGATTTGCTAAATACTCTGCTAAATTTTGCTTCCTAAGTGCTTTGTTTGGAGGGAGTTCTAAGGAGGAGTAAAGTAATAGAGTTTATAAGGGCAAGAAAATAAAGAATGACAAACTCTTTTTCATAATAGGCTCTTGAAGTCAAGTCGTTTAAAAATCAAATCAATAGATATTTATAGAAAATGTGGATAGATTGATCATTTATAGGATATCCATTAGGTATTTAATACTATCATAGTTCTTGGGTGCTTGGGTGGCTCAGATGGTTAAGCGTCTGCCTTCGGCTCAGGTCATGATCCCAGGGTCCTGGGATTGAGTCCCACATCGGGCTCCCTGCTCCTTGGGAGCCTGCTTCTCCCTCTGTTTCTCTCTCTCTCTCTCTCTGTCTCTCATGAATAAATAAATAAAATCTTTAAAAAAAAATACTATCATAGTTCTTGACAACTGACTTTTGTGGACGAGACTGGACCCTATGACACAAAGTTCTAGTCATTTCTTTTCCTTACCCATCTTGAAAATTCTGTAGTCTAATTCAAGCTTCTAAACTGGTAGACCCTTCTTCTAGTCTAAATAGGCGTGGCCCGAGGTTGCAGCATTTTTACAGGGAAAGGCTTTATTGGAGGAGCTCAGACCCATCACCAGCTATATCCAGACTTAGTAACTTAATGCCACAGCCTTCAAACTCCAGCTCTCTCCCCCATTTTAGAGAAAGGAGGCCACTGGCTAAGGATCCAAACAAAATTACAGGGAACAGTTGGATATGTAGCAATGTTTTAAGATTTGGAAATGAAACCCAATATCCTGCTGAGATAGAATATTAAATGACTTGACACAATAACTTCTGGCAGGCACACAGCCTCCTGGTTGACTTAGAGAAGTATAGACTTCATGACATTTTAATTTACACTTGGTCTTATCAATTGGTAAAAACATCTCTGTTCTTCCTCCCTGTTAAAGAACAAAAAGAAAAAGAAAGTGTCCGACTTACCACTTTCCTTGCTATGGCAAATGCCTAAGAACTCATCAAAGGCATGAAGCACTGTGCTCTGAGCTGCACTCCCTCCAGAGTACTCCAGGGGCTCTGTGGAGACTCCTTCATAGATCAACCCCACAGGCATTGCTGGGTTATCCTTCCATCTAAGCCAGAGGAAAAGTCAAAGAGAAGGTGTGGGTGCTAGGAGTTAAGAGCATATTTTCTGATACGGAAACAGTGAGTAAGAGAGCAAACACAGCTTCAATGGTAATTTTAGAGCAAAAGACTTTGGATATTTTTGTAGGATATGTACTTAGGCATACTTCAATTTTGTAACAGGCCACAGAATACAGCTGTTCCTTTCCTCAGTTGAAGGATTATTCCAGAGAAGTAAAGGATATTTAGAGAGGAATCCTTAGCACTGGTCCTATGACATATTTATTAGAAAAAAAAATCACTTATCAGTGCTGATCAATAGGAGCAATTTAGGGGCTCTGTTATAATCTTCACCTAATCTCAACCCTGATAACCTGATACCTTTAACTCTGCAAACAGGGCTTTGAAAGTAAACACACACACACACACACACACACACCTTTGCCCTTCCTTGAAATAGCTTTAACAGTTGTCATGCTGAACTATCAGTTTTAAACACTACCTGACTTTGTGGGAATACCTTTGTCAAATATGTTCTTGATGGCAGGTATTGATAACGAGGGCAGCAATAAAGAGAACATAGTACAACCCTACAGGTTACCAGAGGGACGTGGAGCTGGACTGAATTGAGGCTCTGAGTCTTGCTCAGATGAAGTGGGTTTTCCTCCCTTCTTCTCTTCTTCTGTCTCCCTGATACCATTTCTTTGTCTTTTTGTGTCTGAGTCCCCCTACCTCTACCTCCAACTATTTTACTCATTTCCCTGTCACATTTGTTATAGAGTCTTGAACAATTCCAGAGACTATGTGGGTGACTCCATAATAAGACAAAAACAATAGCACCAAGAACACATTCTAGTTGTACTTCCAAGGCATTAGTCTATAAAACCCCTGCACATTCATGTTCTTATTTGACCTCTTTTGAGTAGGTGAAGGCAGGTTTTTAAAACCCCTTTTACAGATAAACAAAGACTCAAAGCTGTTAAGGCTCCAGGACCACATTGTTAGAAAATGGGGAAACCAGAACGTAAATCCCAAACTTGTAATACGTTTTTTTTAAGATTGTATTTCTTTGACAGAGAGAGAGAGCGCACGCGTGCGCACAAGCGGGGGGGAGGCACAGCGGGAGAGGGAGAAGCAGACTCCGGCTGAGCAGGGAGCCCGATGCAATGCTCAATCCCAGGACTCCGGAATCATGACCTGAGCCGAAGGCAGACGCTTAACCGACTGAGCCCCCCAGGCGCCCCAAACTTGTAGTTTTCTATCATTTTCCCGAGACCCCCGCATGTGGATTTGCACTTTTACTAAGGAATAGAGTCTTTTTTCCTCTTATTTCCAGGAACGAGCCACAGTCCCTGTTGTGAACAGTTTAAATAACAGGCTTACATTGATGTCTCGCCTTCTTCCTATAATTCTAAAAGTCATTTTGCTCAAGAGAAGGGAAACATCAAACACATACAAAAGCTGTAGCCAGACTGCTCAGCTTGCTGTTCATGCCCTTTTTCCAATACTTCCTTGAGGTAAGAAAGGCTATAAGGAGCTGGGTTGTTTTCTTTGCAGGTTGGTTTGTTCAGCAGTTGTATGGTTTCCACTGCATGAATGTCAGAATGGCCTTTGCAGTGGGGGTGACATCACTCTGGAAACATGAGGCACAGAAAGCAGAGCCAGGGGAGAGCGAAGGAAGGATTCTGATCATAAGATTAGAACATGCTGTAGCTGTTGGGGGAGAGGGCTCTTTTTCAGGCAGATAGAGAATTTAATCTCAGTTTTGGTATTTATTAACTGTGAGCCTTGGCTTAGGTAATTAATCTCTCTGAGCCTCAGGTTCCTTATCCAAGTGATATTAGGATCTACCTTATTGGGTTGTTATGGGAACTAATTAAAATAATACCTGCTCAGGGCCTGGAACATATTAAGCATTTGCTAAATATTAGCCATTTTATATTGTTCAGAGTGAGTTGGAATCCCGGCTCCCTCCATTCATTATGTTGTAACTTTGCATGCACCTTCGTAAGTCTTGGTCCCAATTTGCACCTACTTCCTAAAGCTGCTGCATAATTAAATGGGTTCCAGAGAAGTTTTATGACTTATCAGAGTTCAGGACACTGCTTCAATAAAATTTCTAAACAACATTTTATGGGGAAGGAGTATTGAAAACGTAAGTGGAACAGAGAGCGGCCACACTGGTTCAGAGTTGTTTTTGCCATCCTGTGGATGATCTCAGATGGTCACTTTGGTCTCTTTCAACAGTCCCTCCTCATCATGACCACTTCTGCGTGTTGGACTTTCTCAGGGCTCAGTCCTTGGGCTTCCTGCTACTTTCACTTTCCAAGTGGTTTTATTTAGCTTCATTGATTTAGAAGGCAACTATATTAGGACTATTTAAAAGCATACACTTATACCTGGGCCTCTCCCTTATGGTCCAAACTCATGTATTCAATGGCCTACTTACAGATACCTCCACCAGAAATGAACATGTCCCAAACTAAGTTGCCAATTTCCCCTCCCTTCTGCCAAATGTGATCCTCCGATAGCCTTCCTCATCAGAGAAAATGGCAGCTCCATTCTTTCAGTGGATCAGGCCAAAACCTTAGAGTCCTCTTCAACTAATCCTGCTCTCCTCCTTCCATAAGCAATCGAATAGCAGTTCCCGTCAACTTTACCTTCAGTCATGTCCGGAACTGAACATTTTTTAGCACCTCCGTTGTTTCCACGCTAGTCTAAGCCACCATGCTGGATTGTGGGATGGCTTCTTAAATGCTTGCCTGGCTTCCATTCTTGTTCTCAAATCATCTATTTTCCACTTAGAAGATACAGCAATGATTCGAAACTTAAGAGAGATCATGTCATTTGTCTCCAGACTTTCTACTGCTGCTCTTCTCTCTCAGAAAGGAGCCAACAAGCCCCAACATGATCTGGTCTTCTGCTATTACTTGTATCTCTCTCATTCTCCCTCATGTGTCTTTCATCCCAGCGACACTGGCCTCCTTGCAACAAGGAATCCTTGTTCCTCCATGACAAGCATGCTCCAACCTCAGGGTTGTTGCAATTTTTGTTTCTTTTGCTTGGAACAGGTATCTAGAAGGTTTAGTTCTCACTTCCTTCAGGTATCTACACAGATGTCACCTAGAAGTGTGGCATTCCCAGATCATAATCAATAAATAAGAAACTTCAGCCGCCACCCACCCCTAGCTCTCCCTTGATGCCCTGTGTCTTACTTTACATTTCCCCATATTACTTATTGTTGTAACATATATTGTATGATACTTGCTTTAATTATATTTGTTTATGCATTATCTGGCTCCCATGATTAAAATGTAAGCTCCAGGATGCCTGTGTGGCTTAGTTGGTAAAGTGTCTGCCTTCAGCAGGTCATATTCCAGGGGTGTTGGGCTCCTTGTTCAGTGGGGAGCCTCTGCCTGCCGCTCCCCTGCTTGTGCTCTCTCTCTCTCTGTCAAATAAATAAATAAAATATTTATAAATAAATAAATAAAATGTAAGCTCCATGGGAATGAAGTTGCTGTTTTGCTTTATTGCACCATTCCCAGAACCAGGAACTATGCCTGGCATATGGTAAGTACTTACTAAAGAGTTAATGAATGAATGAATGAATGAAAACAATATCATTCTATAATTCCATATTATATATCTAGACTATGTGGACCCAAATGTTTGTCTGGAAAGGACCTAGCCAGCTTTAAGGAGCCATCAGATGCTCAAATGGCCAAGAGACATCAATCAATGTCTTTTTGGTGCCCCAACATGAAGAAGATGTATCAAAGCCACATTGAAGGTGATAGAGAAAACATCAGCATGTAGGTCAAAAAAGATAAAATAAGGGGATCTACTTTCAAAACCCATGTTCTCCACCTGTGATGAGATTAGTCTGAGGAAGGGAAATAGGGTTTCTCTGACTAGCCCAAGGACTGCTCCCATGCACTCTCAGCCCAAACTACTGTTTGTAAAGGAAAGGAATTAGTTTCCTTTCAAATCTCTGTAGACAAGGTTATTTTTAATCTTTCTCATAGCATATTTCTAGGAAACCCAAGAGGAAGTGTAAACAGAAAGAAAAAAAGAAAGAAATGAAGTGACATTTTTCAACAGGGGCTGATGACTTCCCTGTGAAATTTAATGTGAGTGGGAAATAAAAAGAATATGTTTAATCTACAGATGATGAAACTCTCCTAAATAAAAATGTTTTTAAGAAGTAGGGCGCCTGGGTGGCTCAGTTGGTTAAGCGACTGCCTTCGGCTCAGGTCATGATCCTGGAGTCCTGGGATCGAGTCCCGCATCGGGCTCCCTGCTCAGCAGGGAGTCTGCTTCTCCCTCTCCCACTCCCCCTGCTTGTGTTCCCTCTCTCGCTGTGTCTTTCTCTGTCAAATAAATAAATAAAATCTTTTTTAAAAAAAAGTAAATAAAAACAATAAAACAAACATAGGACAAACCAAAAATATAGGAGTAGATTTCGATTTTTCAAGACAACTCTCTTGAGAATTCTCAACAATCCAGATGATTTTAGCCATCAACAGTTATCAATACATTTAAGATTTGTGCCGCCCACTTAGTTGTGCTACATGGGAAATATTTTTGAGGGTCAGACAGAGGGGAGGCTTTTATGGAGATCACAGATAAGATGCACCACTGACCCAGAACTTATTTTAATGAAAACAATATCACCCTGCAGTGACCATTTAATCATGATGGGTAGAATCTTGAAAATATTGCCACAAGATCTCCATCCTAATTCCTAGAACTCTTTATATTATAAACTACCACACCTGTCAATATGATATATTATATAGCAAGGCCAAAGAGACTTCGCAAATGTAATTAAGGTTACTAATCAGTTGACCTTAACATAGGGAGTTTTCTGCATTGTCTCCGTGAGCTCAATCTAATCACATAAGACCTTAAAAGCAGAGATTTTCTCTGCCTAATGGCAGAAGGAGAAATCAGAGGGATTTAAGTACTAGAAGGATTGGAAGCACCATGGCTGCGTTGGAGGATACCATGTGACAAGGAAAGCAGGAGGCCTCTAAACGGAGAACAGATCCTATCCAACAGCCAGCAAGGAAACATAGACCTCAGTTCCAAAACCACAAAGAACTGGATTCTACCACAAACCTGAATGAGTTTGGAAGTGAATGATTCCCCAGATTCTCCTGATAACAGCTCAGCCAAGCAGATAACTTGACCTCAGCGTTTGGAGACGCTAAGCAGAAAACCAAGCTGAGTTTGCTTGGCCTTCTGACCTACAGAAATGCGAGATAATAAATGTGTGTTGTTTTAAACTGCTGTTTTAATTTGTGGCAATCTGTTATGCAATGGTGGAAGGCTAATACAAACTTGGACAGCAAAGTGAAGCACAAAGAGATTTTCCAGAATTTGGTACTTCCTAAATCCCAGTCTATTTAAAATGTTTTAAAAATGCCCTTTTGTTCTCTAATTCTACCAAAACCTATCTTCAAGTTTTGCTTAACATTTGTTGCTAGAATCACTATTGTACAATCAGATCTTTGTCTTAACCCTGAGCACATGCAAAACGCACAGAGAGCAAGAAGAGTTCTAAGGATAGATAATCTCTTTGGGGAGGATTTCGGGACTGAATGGGTATACAGCAAAAGTCTGAATTCTGAGAAACACTCCCAATTCCATTCGGCACCCTTCCCCATTTCTCTGGTTTCCTCATCAGTCAGGTACCCATTACTCTCAAGTTATTCTCTGGAAACCTTCCTGCTTCCACTCTCTGAGCCCTGCAGTGAGGAATGCCCACCCAGGCTGGCCTCCCCTTAGACTGTCTCACACTCCAGACCTACTCAATCTAGAGAAAATACTGAGTTCATGTTGTCACTCCCTTCTTGCACCAATGTAATATCCACTACATCTACTGATAAATCAATAGATCTGTTGATTTTGGTATTGGACTTGTCTCTTACTACTTCAGGGCACAGCTTCAGATTCTTTCTGTACATAGCACTTAGGCATCTCCTAGTTATCAAGACGGAACACTAGATGAGCTCTATTTCACATTTTTCACCTCATCCATTCACTACCTCCACTTTTCACTTTTCACCATTAAAAAACCAAACAAACAAACTTAGTTTCTCTTGGTTAATGTAAATAGGAAAGCAATTTGATTAAAACATGTCAAGGTATAACTAATGTATTTAAAGGAAGAAATATATCTAAGGGTAGAGTTCTCTAACTGGAGAAATTAACAGACCACGTCAAAAAAAGACCCGCAAATATGAACAAATGACTTGGGGGAGCTCTTCCAGGAATATTAGAAGAAAGCTTTTAAGCCCTTTCTATGCTCCCATCTGCCTTAGTAACAAAGGGGAGAGAATGAATATAAATGATAGAGCTTTGTGGTTGCATACTGGGCTTTTTTTTCTGCCATCAAGATGGGATTCTAAGTGAATACAAATGAATCTAATATGGTCATCTAAGGAAAACTATTCTAAACTTAAATATTCAAACTTCAATGTCATTTGTCATGCAGATGGTACCCTACCTCTTTTATCCAAGAGTGGATAGCTGCTAGCAAGGGTTTCTTGGTGTGTTTCTTACTATAGGAAGCTTCTGCCTCCTTTCATAAATTTGGAATATGCTACAGAGGCCTCATGCAGGAAAACGGTTGAACTGTACTTACCCAGAGAGAAAGATCCGGATGACTGCATAAAATATGTCTGGATCAACATAATCTGGAGAAGCAATCAAAATGTGAACTTTACTACAGGCAAAAAAGCAATTGGTTACATGTGCATGGGTCCTGCAGCTCTCCTGGGGCCGCTTCCTCTATCTGATCTTCATGGAAACCTGGAAGGAAGGCAGCAGCAGGGGGGGGATGGAATGTTCTCTTCTGTGGCCCCTCACTGGCACTTACAGAAATTTTAAACTGTTCCAAATGCTGCCCTTTTCTATTTGTGGCACTTCCCTTTTCTGAACTTCATAACAACAAAAGGAGAGGTCAAAGCTATCTTTAAAAAATTAATATTTTTAAACAGACATGATATTTGAGAGAGCGTAGGAAGTAGAAAGAAGAAAAGCAGAGAAAAAGAGTCACCTCTCTCAAAGGTTGCACAAGAGAGGAAACCTAAAGTCATCAATGCTCATGCAGAGTTCTGTACAGGCAACAAAGGATGGAGGGGAGAATGTCTTGACCAGGGGCTGCCACACCAGGTCTGGTATGGGCTCGTGGAGCTGCATTCCTTAGTCTGTGCAACTAGTTTTGCCTCTGAGCCAAGGCTTGGGGATAACTGATTCCACTAGTTTATTAATTTGCATTTAAAGAAGCGTGTCTTCACATTTGTACTACATCTCTTCTCATTAACTTTTGAAGATTGTTCCTTCTTCTTTGCATAATAGGGCCCCCCTGTGACCTGGCATGTTTCTTTTACCTGGATTCCTGTCCATATTTCCTTGTTTCTCTTTGAGAAAAAAAAACAAAAAAACAAAAAACAGGGGTGTCTGGGTGGTTGAGGTGGCTGCCTTCAGCTCAGGTCATGATCCCGGGGTCCTGGGATCAAGCCCCACATCGGGCTCCCTGCTCAATGGGGGAGCCTGCTTCTCCCTCTCCCACTCCCCCTGCTTGTGCTCTCTCTCTCTCTCTTTGTCAAATAAATAAATAAAATCTTAAATAAACAAACAAAACAAAACACCCAAAAACATCGTTTTTATGAGACCCAAATAATGTCATCTCTATACCATCAATTCCCTTTTCTACCATCATACCTACTCTCTGTTCCTCCATCTCTATTTTCTCTGAAACCTCATGGGCTCGGATCACTCATATCTTCCTTTAGCCTCAGGGTTTCCCAGTGTTCCTGAGTGGTGTCACATTCTCTCTGCTCTTCTGTGACAATGACCCATGTGCTGGACTTTTATTTGGGCCCCGTTTCTATGTCTTTCCCATCTGGTCTTCTGCTCCCACAAAAATGTTAAGTATTATGTACAAATTTTTGCTGAAGCAACAATGACCAGCAATAGTGTAATATTTTACCCACAAAAGTAAAATGATTAGTCAGTAGATATAAAATAATTTTAATGTAAAAATTGTCAATAGATGTAAAAAAATCCATTTATGATTATAAAAAAAGAGAAAAATTAGCTAATTAAGGATAGGAGGAACATTCTTGAACTGATAAATTCACAGAAAGCCTATTGTGCATTTTGTACTTGATACTGAAAGATTAAAAATAAGTGTTTTAAAATGTGGAACAAAACAAGGATCAGCACTTCCATTCAACACGGTGTTAGGAATCCTAGCTAGAAGAGTACAAAAAAAATATTTAAAGAAATAAAAGTTATAAGTATTATAAATGAAGGAACAAAACATGATTCTCAAATAACATGATTTCAACATAGGAAACCCAAATAATCTGCAAATAATTATTAGAATTAATAAGAGTGTTTACCAAGGTACTAAGTTCAAGGTTAATAGTCAAATATCAATTTCACTTAATAAACCAGCAACAAATAGTTAGGAGTTAGTTAAATCAAAAGATACCATATTCACTAGAAACAAAAATCTAAGGTAACTATGAAAAAAACCCAGAAGATATCTAAGTCTCTTATTTTGAATGAAATTTTTAAAAATTCAGGAAATTAAAGAAGAAATTTATATTGATGGACAAGAAAATTAAGTATCAATATCAAAGAGAAGAAATGTATCTAAGAAAGAGTTCTCTATCTGGATAAATTTTAGCCGGCAGCCAGCAATATGAAGGCATGATTTGGAGTGGCTTGTCCAACAACCTTAGTTGGTGTTTCTGTGCTATTCTCTGACTCTCCACTTCCTTGATCATAAGACAGAAAGACTAGATGTAATATCAGAAGCATGTCATTTTTCTCCAAATCAACGTATGGATTTAATGCAATGTGAGCAAAATTTTTAACAGATTTTTTTCAATGCAATTTGAAAAGCTGATTCTAGCAGTTTACATGAAAGGCAAAGGGTTGAAAATAGTACAGTCAGTCACCTCTGGAAAAGAAGGGCAAGATGAAAATGAGAAATACTATGAAGCTATAGTTCTTAAGACAAATGAAATTCCTGATGGGAAAGAGACAATGAAAAAGACTAGGGAACCTGGAAACAGAGCCAGTCATTTCAGAAAATCTGATAGAAGACAGTGCCAATATTGAAGATTAGGGATTATTAAAAAAAAGGAAATTGAATTTATTTCCTATGTCATGTTACATATAGATAATAATTATGTGAATTAAGGTCTAAAATGTGAAAGACAACAATTCGAGAAGAAAATGCAGGAAAATATACTTATGACCTACGATTATGGAAAAATATCTTAGGCAAGACCTCCTAAAACATAGACTTCTGCAAAAGAAATGACAGATACCTTGACTATATTTAAATTAAAAAGTTCTGCTTTCCAAAGTCCTAAGACAAACCACAATATTTGCAACACATATAACTAAAAAAGAGCAGACCGCCAGGATGCACAAAAAATTTACAAAAAGATAAAAGATAAAAGGCCATTAAAAATATAAGGAAATGCATGCATTCACAAAAGAGGGACCTGAGTGGTGAGCACCAACCAGCACGTGCATGCACACACACACACACACACACAGAAGAGAGTTAACTCAAATCAGAGAATGCGGGAGTGACGTCATCATCGTGGTGGAGTAAAAGTTTTCCACTGTCTTCCCCACAGAGAACACTGGTTTAGATAATCACACATAGACAAGAGAGCCTTTGTGAAAGTCCGGGAATTCAGTGGAGACGTTCCAGCACACCACTGAGCAAAAAGATCCGGAGCTGGATGTACTGAAGAGGGTAAGAACATTTCACTTTGCTCACATCACCCTGTCCACAAGGCAGCACAGCTCGGTGCTAAGAGAGACCTTCTAGGGCTGTGATTCTTCCCGTGAGGGAAAACGAGAGCATATGAGTGAGTGCCTGGCTTCCCCAACTGCATGGGAATGCTGCCAAGCAGATCCACTTCTTTCTCGCCCCATCCAGAACACTGAGGTGTACTGCACAACTGGGGAGACTGGGCATGGGGAGGAGCTAGGAGAATGCCACATAGGGCTCTTGGGGGTTTCATTAAAGGGATGCAGATCATATTGATCACCTGACAGAGTCCATGCAGAAACCCTCCCATGAGATGCTGAGAACATTCCAACACCCCTAGTGCTCTGGTGTCTCACCCAGTCCAAGGCCAGCTCCTTGTGTGCACTCCTGAAGGCAGAAAGAGTGAGCCTTTGCTGAGGATTAGTGAGCTCATGAAGCAAGCTGGCTGATTCTGTGGGATTGGGAGAAAACACACAAACCTGAGCCTTGAACACTCCTCTGGGGAAGGCAAATGGAAGGTGGTCAGCACCTGGCTTTGCGGGATCAAGAGAAGGCGCACGCAATTAAAACTTCTGCCACAAGAGGGAGCAAGAAGTATGGAGCAGGGTATCCATAGAAGGTCTGAGAAAGCTTTGGGATCCCTACCAGGGCTGATGGAAGGTATTTCTCTCCTGAAACCAGTCGGTAAATCCTGGAGGAGGTGAATACTTCTTCAAATACTTCTTGCAGCAATGCAAACCTTCACAGAACATAAAAAAATCAAGGAAACATGATACCACCAAAGGAACAAAATAACTTTCCTGTAACTGACCTGAAAGAAATGCAGACCTGTGATTTGCCTGATAAAATTAATTCAAAATATCTGTTTTAAGGAAGCCAGGTGAACTATAAGAAAACACAGAAAGAAAACTGAGGGTTGCTGGAGGGGAGGGGCATGGAGGGATGGGGTAACTGGGTGATGGACTCTGGGGAGGGTATGTGTTGTAATGAGCACTGGGTATTATATAAGACTGATGAATCACAGACCTCTACCCCTGAAACCAATAATACATTATATGTTAATTAATCAGATTTAAATTTTAAAAAATGAAAAAAGAAAACACAGAAAGACAATTCGATGAAATCAAGAGAACAACACATGCACAAAATGAGAACTTTAACAGAGAGATAAAAATCATAAAAAAGAACAGACTACTAGGAAATATATTTTAGTGATGGACTCTGAACACTGTTCAGAAAATACCAAGTAGAAAACTTCCTGCACTATTAACATGGGGCTGGTAAGGTAGGAGAACCATGTAAACAGTCTGGCTTCTGGGTCTCATGTGTGCACATTTTGGCTAAGAAGGGTGGTTCTTAAAAGCCAGTGACACGGAGGATCTAAGAACACACCTGAGTTACGCCTCCTCCTTTTCCTTCCATGTGGCTTCCCAGTAGAGTGAGAAAAAGGCACCAAGAACTACAGCTTCTGCCCAGATGGGCAAGCTCAGATCCATTTAGTGCCTGGCCAGACATCTTCCAGTGTTTCTGTGGTTGTGTTCAGCAAAACACAAAACATTTTGGCTAAGCATCCTTCTCTTTAAATCCAAGTGAATCTCTAGAGAAATATAATGTCTGCTTTTGATTCATTTACACTGATAATAATTTTGTGTCATAAGCATTATTTTTGTTTTGTTTGGAAAACCTAAGGAGACTAGCTTTTAAAGTTTTCAGGGGTAGGGATTTAGATTTTATACTGAGAAGTAGTCTTTACACAAAGCAAAACTAGAAAATCCTTGCTTTGGATCAGTGCTGTAAAATCACAGGTGTGGAATTACCGTAGTGTTTTCACATTATTTTAGTAACATTCATCCGGTCCCACTCAGGGAAGTAGCATGGCAGGTGTTCTGA